ATTCCCCATAGTGCCTCTTGAAAACTGTAATAAAAGAGATGTTATAAAGTCACTGTAATCCTCTGACGAATAAAAGTGAATGTAAGACTACAATAATAAACATCATGCACAAAGAAAGTATGATGGAAGAAAACACTTAGTATGTCAAGTACAGCAACACATGAAGCTTTTCTCTGCATAAAGTCAGAGATTCAATTCTGCCAAGACAGGAAGGGGACTGTGTGAAAATAAAAAATAGGAAACTTGATCTTCCCTGCAGGCTGGAGTTGATCTAAGACAAGATTTAACTGTTATCACAGTGCTAAGTACGGCACTGACAAAAAAGACTTTACAATCTGTTAATGAATATAACATCAAACACACAAATGATCTTCAAATATGAATGTTTGTCCCCAACTCACACCAAATACATCTCACAATGAGCAAAGTGCGTGTGTTTATTTATTAATCTGTTTATTTGTCAGGGACATTACATGTAAGCATTGTTAAATCTAATTAAAGTGCAACAGATGTAATGTATCTAGGACTTCTAGACATGGCTAATTTGCAGTTCTTGTTCCGGGTTAGGCTTTGAAGAAATAACACAGATGATACACCAACGCAGTAAAATAGACATACAAACTGACATTTGCAGCAGATAAAGATGCATAAAAACAAACAGTAAAGCAGACATAGACACGCAGATTGAAAATAATTACTAACTAAACACATATTTTATGCTATACTCACCAGATCAAAAGATCACTGTACGAGTTATTCAACTTTAAGAAATGCAGACGCAAAGAAGCATAGAAACAGGAGAAAGGTTTATCAGTCTTGGTCAGCAACCAATCAAAAGTCCTTCTGTGAGTTCAGGAACACCCATTATTATTTTTAAAGCAGCTGACTTTTAAGAAACATGTTGATTTACAGGAACAGTAGAAGCTGAGAGCTCTCACACCCTCTGCTGGTTAATAAGAGCATGCCACACCCTGAAAAGTAAACAAGCACTAAGATTGTGGTGAAACTTCCTCGTCTCTGAGATGTTGCATGAAGCAGCAGTTTGTATGTCTGATGATTTCAGCAGCTGTTAATTGACTTTAACAGTTTTTTGTTTCTTTCCCACATGTCATCCCCCCCCCCCCCTCTCTCTCTCTCTCAAATGGCCAACTATATCCACTCTTTTATCACTAAAATAAAGGCATACAAATCCCCAAAATAAACGAATAAAAAAGAACCTGGCTCTAAGCAGCATTTTTTTATGAGGCTCGAACATGTTTCTTTTATATGAACATTTCTCTGTCCAGTGGTTAGCACTGCCACAACATGGGGGAAGAGACTTCTTCTGAACTCTGGGTTTCATCTCTGAATGGAGATAGTCTTAGAAATGGCTGCACTCAATCCAGACACTGAGCGAGGGGTGGGGATGAGGAGGAGGGGAAGCAGTGCAATGAAGGGACAGCTTTGTTAAAGTGCACCATCTACTGGACATCTTCTCTCAAAGTTTCAAATGATAGGCGTCTATCTCTTGAAATAAATTACAAATAAGTAAGAATGATCATTAAGGTTTATTGCTTATTGAAGTTTAATTGGATCAGATGAATCCTCTTTTACAGAAGCTTATTGCAATAACTAGTGAAAATAAAAAATCTTGTGTTTTTCTGAATAAATTAGTTAAGCCTCTAGTTAGTTAATAAAAACGGGACAGTTTTTTTCCCTCTCAATGAGATATCTACGTCGTTAATTCAGACGAACAGGAAGACTTTTATTTTCTCAAGTGAAATCCATATCATTCTTTATTTTTCCCCTCAAAACACAAACACACACACACACACACACACACACACAGATATGTGTAGAAGTGGATAAATCAGAATTTATTCTTTTTTTTTTATGACAAACTGCAGTGAACGCTCATCACAATTACTGCTAAAGAGAGTGTAGAAGGAACAGAGGGTATTGTGGTTTAAAAACTACATATTTAATATATATTATTTTATTATTACGAGGCTTCAGAAAATAACCTTTAGTATAAATCTATAAATAAATCAAAGTGGTTTTTAACATGTAAAATAACTAACTTAAGCTTGTTTAAATTATTTTATTTAAAGACTCAAGAACATCAGTTTAAACATATGAAACATTTTGATATCAACACTCATGTTTCCTGATTTGAACAGATTACTGATGTGTGCAGCTGGATTATAAATCAGTTTAGTATAGAGCACTTAAAAACAGCAGAGCTGTACAAAAATAATAGATATCTGATAGCACTCACTCTTGTTGCCCTGCTTAGAATCTCATCTTTCATGAAAACCAAAAGTTTGTCAATGAAGGTTAAATGAAGACAAATTATCCGTCTGAGTGAAAAAAATAAAAGAGGAAAATAATGATGAATGCTGGTTGGAGCCCTCAATGTGTTTTTGCCTAGGGCCCCAACAGATATTAGTATCGCCACTTGCTATAGTGTTTAACAGTATGTGCAGTGCATTTGAGTACATTTGCACTAAAGCACATGCTTTTATAACAGTTTATTGTGATATGAATTTAAGTTCTACTCCGTAACTAATAACTATTACACATAAATTGATGTCTGAAATTAATATTTGTTACATTCAAGCCATTGCCAAATGAGTTGACACAATGTTGATTAAGCCTATACAGTACATGAGTCCTTGTCGGTGTTACAGTTTAAACAGAATGAGTCTCTGATTGTCAGACATTTGTGTCCTAATGAATTACTCTTGTTTAGCTTTTCATTAAGGACATTAAATAAATATTTTTGACATTATGACAAAACAAAAACTGAACAAAGTGGCATATGTTAGGACACTTTCAGTCGCATTTTTCCAAAAGTTGCCAGTTAACAGGGTCACTTTTTTAACCATAACACCAGAATAGTGATGTTTGTTTATATTTAAAGGAAAATCAATCTCGTTACACCACTGTAGGATAAAAAAGTTTGGTCTTCTGAAAGGGGAGTTTTGGTGGTGACATTACAACCAGATGCAGCACTGTGTTGTAATAAGCGACCGTTTGAATCAGCTACTGTGCAACAGTTGTTGTTTAGCTAAAACACATCATACAAATTATGCTTTATGATTGATCAAGCACACATGTTTTTATGTGGAAATGTACTGTCGTTATTTAATTATATTTGTTTTGTTTGTCCTTTGTAGATTTGCACAGGGTTTACATCTATGGCAAGTAGACATGCTTCAAGATGGCATTGCAAAGAGCACAGCTACACTTTCCATGATGTCAAAGAAACTCAGAAGAATTTGTGTAAAAAGTCTGAAAAAGCACCAAAAGACAAAGAAGCAAAAAGTTGGAGGAGTTAACGTCCTCGTTCACATTGATGAGAGCAAGTTCTGCCATAAACGCAAGGTAAATTTATCTACATGTGTAGTACCCTTCACTAAATATGGGGTCATTCCATGCTAATGCACCCAAAATCAGGATTTTTTCCCAGTTCTCAAAAATCATGTTGAAACTTCTATTGACTTCATTGAACCGTTTACAATCTTAAAGCTGTACTCCTTATTCTAAGTATTATAATAATATTTTTTTTTACCTTCTGAGGTAAATTTCAACATTTTTGTGTATCCGTCCGTCTGTGTATTCAGACCTCACCAATCATTAATTTTAACCAGAATGGTTTGAAACCTGTCCTGAACCTAAGAAAACTTGAAAACATGTTTCTATTACAGTTTTTGTTGCTAAATGTCGACAGTATCCAAATAAAGAATATTTCATTTTCAAAAATGTACATTTTAAATTTCAAATGTTAACTGGCTGTAATAATACATTGAGTGGTTTTATTTAATGAGTAGATATTTATATTGTTTTGACTTCAAGGGTTTCCATCTGTGTGATGTGTAAAGATAGACCATGACAGAGTTTTTTTTTCACTTTAATTGGATAGTCCTAACACAGGTCTACAAATGCTTAGTTACTAATGTCTACTAATAGTCTGTTGATAGTCATCTTTATACATGTTGACAATCAACAGATAGTCAACTACAAATTAGTAGCTTATCCATTGATAACCAATCAACAGAGTATCAACAGTCAGTCATTTGATGAGTGATACTGTTGACTTTCAACTGACAGATTGATTCAGAGTAGTTGACTTAACTTACAAGAAGTTGACAATTTACAGATAGTTAGTTGAAAGTCTATCAATAACCTGTTTAAAAGAATAAGAGAGTTGGAAGACACTTTTTTGTAAAATGTTGTAACAACTTGAAATGCACCTTATAGTCTACTGGCAGTAAGTTGAATGTTTATAACTTGTCTGTTGAAAAAGTTCTGTTGAATATCAACTGATAGCTTGTTGAGTGTCAACAGACGAACTATCAAAATAAATTGTTACCGTATTTTTTCGACAATATACCGGTGCTGCAGCAAATCTGTGCCAAAATTACAACATCAACAAAGAATACTGAAACTGGAAGAGCTATTAGCATGTTGTTTAAATACTTCAAGAAACAATATACACCTTGTTCTTTTTTTGTAGCATCTATCTGGACTTCTGGAATTTAAAATACTATCGGGTCAGAAAAAATACTTTCCAATTCAGGAAATGGGACCATCCACACAGAGCCTGTGAATGCAGCTGTACTCCTTCACAGTTTTACATTTCCTGTTTGAATCACCCATAGCATGTTGGGAACTGTAGTGCAGAATACAAACACTGAAACATTGAACTTATAATAAATATCATTTTGATGGTAAAACAGAAGAAGAACATCTCCACTTCTCTTTTTTTGTTTGATTCCATAAAGTTCTCATTAAAAGAACAGTACATGTTCCCGGGACAGGAAGGTGATGACTAGTATGCCGTAAGTCTGCAAATAGAGTAACAATAAAGAGTTAAAGCTGAGCAGAACATCCTGAGGTTCAAAGGATTAAAGAGAAGTATTCAAGATGAGCCTTTAATTAGCAGCTCTGCATGACGTTATGTATCCTGGATTACTTTTGGTTTTCAAACTTTTGTCTTCACTTGTGACTCAACAGGAACATCACCATGTTGCACTACCTGATCATGATCTTTGAGAAGAACTACCCGGACACACTGAACATCCAGCAGGACCTCAACAGTGTCCCGGAGGCTGCAAAAGTCAAGTGAGTGTCCCAACTCTTCACTGAAGGGAACATTTTCCCCAGAGCCATGTTTGAGTAGAGACAGGTGTCAACATGTAACCCTTTTAAACCCCTACATTTAAACATATATAATTTAGTAATCTTAAAACCTGAATGTTAATATTAATTCTGTATAACTGAAAATCAAAAGACCAGGTGTGAATTTTGGATTATTATCTATAATGTATGTGTTATAATAGCAACCAGTTCTGGCCTTCATTTCACTGGTTTCCATTGTGTGCTAGGGCTGGTTTGAGGATGATTTCTTCTTGTCAAGACACTGCATGGATTTTCAGTATCTCAAATCACCTGATTGATGTTAATGAGGCTTTTACTGCCTGGTTCAGTTTGTTTGTAGTCTGTTTCTCCTATGTATTGATTTCAATCATTAGGTGCATCAGGACTATGCTGCGTGAGGATTTAGCTTTTTGAATAAAGTTGTAAGAACACTTGTTCGTTGGATTTAAAAAAAGTTCCTTTCCTCCACATATTTTGGAGTGTTAAACTGAATAAGTCATAAACTAGTGCCATAAAACTTGTAGAAAGCTTCAGTATAAAATAAAGTATCTGATTCATCTTTTTTTCTTTCACTAGTTTGGCGGAGCTGGAAAAAGAGGTGCACAACATGAAAAGTGGGCTGAAGGCTCTGGAGGCGGTGAGTTGTGTGTGTTTGTGCCGTTGCTCCCTCCTGTTGGTTCTTCTGATGTCTGTTCTTATGTTTTTTGGAGCAGAGCGGAGATGGACAGCAGGATGAGGTGTTTAAATGCTGCTGATGTTTAATGCTAACATGGACTGGAAAATGTCATGTTTACAGCCACGCACAGAAACACGGCTAATGTTCCTGCACTCTTAAAGACACAGAGAGACACACACAGGGGTTTACTGTGTTTTCAATATTTATATATTTTGACTTTGCATAACTATAAGAACTTGATCATTTGTTGATGATCCTCCCTCACTCTTAAATCCTTGGAGCTCTGCCAGAAGTCAGAATCTGTGACTGGATGAGGGTGCATTAGTGCACATGGCAAGGGAAACCTGCACGTCTGTGAAGGCACCATTAATAGAATAGAATAGAACTAGAATAATAGAATTACTTTATTGATCCCAAACTGGGAAATTGTGGAACAATTATGCTCAAATATACAGTATGTATACATTTTTTGTATGTATATACATTTTACATATGTGACATATGCTGCAAGATAGATAACATCTTTTTCAGGGAGGGCCTTATTTCATCCAGATAATGACACACTGCATTCTGAAGCTAAACCGTACTTTCTGTCGTCCCGACCTGTCACCAATTGAAAATGTTTGCCGCATTATGAAACGCAGATTGGACACAAAAGACTCTAAACTGTTGAAGAAAAGTAAAAGATTCCTCTTTAAAAATGACAGAAACTGTTCACCTCAGTTCACCAAAACGCCTACAAAGTGTCTCAACTTTTTTTAAACGTGTTGCTGGCATCAAATAGAAAATGGACACAAGAAGGAAAATGTATTTCAAAATTTCAACATGTGATTTGCTGACTTTGTACTTTTTCTATTAAAAACGGGGGTTCAGTGTGTTGAAAATCATCACTTTGGGGTCTTTTGGTTTTATATTTTACGCAACGTACCAACTTTTCAGGAAATGGAAATGTATTTTCAAATGATTCAGTTGACCTGAAATATACACAACCTGAGCCACTAAGTGATTTAACTCAGGTGACCGTGACTATTGAGAAATGTATTGTAACTGTGGCATAAATAGAAGAATCTAATAAACACACAGCATAGAATGTGTCGAAACAATTTGAAACATAAAAGAAACTCATTAGAAAGCTTTTTGAACCTCTACATTTTGGTATTTTTTAGATGAACTCATTTCAATGTGGAGTGTTTTGATACATCACTGCGATAACAAAGCAGTGCCTCTGTCTGTGATTTTGCTCATTTTAGTTCAATCAAAGTATCTGTAAAAGCTTTATATCTATCGGGTTTCTTTTTAAGTTAAGCTCTAGCTATTTTTATTGGATTAGTCTGTTTATAATTTCAGTTCAATCTTAACCAGATCATGCAGAAAACACTCTCTTGCAGCAAGATCATGGCTGCCCCCTAGTGCTCGATGTCACCCAATTCAGTTTTCAGCCACAGGTGGTGTGTTTTCATGGGGTTGAAGGAGATGTCCCTGATTGCTTTATAGAACACAAGAACCCCTATAATCTTTAAGTATTTTCTTCTTTTTTAAATCCCACTTTTCTCGTCTGCTCGCCCCCCCCTGCAGGAGCTGCAGTACCAGCAGAGCAGGACGAGGGAACGTGGGGATAAGTTCGTGGCTGTGATCGGAGACTTCATCACCGTGGCCGGCTTCAGCTTCTCTGAACTGGAGGACCAGCTGAGCGAAGCCAAGGACAAGGTAGCTACCTGCATGAGCACCGAGCGATACAGGAAACAGAGCATTTAAAACATGAGACAAGAACATATTGCTAGTTCATATGTCCATGTGGGTGGCTTTGATCTGTCCTCTGTGAGTTGTTGTCACTGCCAAACCCTCATGTCAGACAAAAGAGGGACGAAACGCTGAAGGAAGAAACCCGACCCCAGTGTGATGACTTCAGCAGCGCAGGGGAAACCCAGCCTTGAAAGCTTTCTGTGGATTCCCCCCTCGTCCTGCCTTTGTGTTTGTCTCTCTGAGTTTAGTCTTTTAAATCCACACTCTCCTTCTTTGTGCACGAGGACATATGGCCTCTTGAACCCTGCTGGCTCATGCACTGATGTCTGGTAGGAAGCATGTAAGCTGAAGACATCAGTGGGACTGCAGGAACCCCAGAGTGAATACAGTGTTGAAAAGATTCATGTGAGCAGGTTTTTTCGCAGGCCTTCGGGTGCTCTCTTGCACACAGCAGATAACATGCAGTGGTAATAGTAACTCCAACATGATGTTTAGGTTGAGGCTCTTTTTTTCAAAATAGTTTATGCACTGATGAAGAATGCATAAATAGTTTTAAACTCTCTGAAGAACTGGTTCCCAAACTGTCCAAATCATGGATAACTATCCATCATGTAAATGACCACAGAAGATTTTACTAGAAAGTGTTCTGGTCATTGTTTGCAGTTTCACCAGCCCTTCTCAGTGGTGTAGCTAAGTTCAGCCATCATCACATCTCTGTACATTCATATTGATACCACAACGACGTAAGATTGGTGTCCCAGTCTGTGAGTTCACTTTGCATTTCGGGATTGAAGAAGCACAGCAGTGTCGGAGCTCCACATACGCACACAGTCAGACAGACATGCACGCGCACACACACACACACACACACACACACACACACACACACACACACACATAACACACACACACACACACACACACACACACACACACACACCACACACACACACACCCTGCGCTCACGAATCAAGAGAGCTTGAGCAAGAAAGCAAGAAAGAGAGGGAGAAGGAGTTTCATTCAGACCCTTCACTCTGCTAAATTATTTGTTCAAGGAGGAGTTCGCTGAAAAGTTGGAGGGAAAAATGGGCCTGTTTGGATGTCATGGGAAAAGAACGAGAGAAGGAAGGCTTCTGTAAAACAAAAGAACCTGTGTTCAGCAGCCCAGACTCTAAACACACTCTTTTCCTAACTCCACTGTGTGTGTGTGTGTGTGTGTGTGTGTGTGTGTGTGTGTGTGTGTGTGTGTGGTGTGTGTGTGTGTGTGTGTGTGTGTGTGTGTGTGTGTGTGTGTGTGTGTGTGTGTGTGTGTGTGTGTGTGTGTGTGTGTGTGTGTGTGTGTGTGTGTGTGTGTGTGTGTGTGTGTGGTGTGTGTGTGTGGGCTGACACATTAACTTAGGTTTCCAGCAGAATACAAATATGGAAGAGTGGGTGTGCACTCAATGTTTTAGTTCTAAGTTGAGAAGGATGACTAAACAGAGCAAGCAGTGCAATGCAGCTAATAAAGCTCCATGGCAACCAATGTGTGTGTATTTGTAGGAGAAAAACACACACACACACCCACACACCCTCACCAGACACTACTACATACATTACAAAGGATTACAGATGTCCAAGGTCATGGGGGTTATTGGGACAGAGGTTTCTAGAGGAGAGAAGGGATTTTCTCTCTGATCCACAGAGATGGGTCGGGTTTATCTCTCGCACCCTCATCTCTTCACGTTCACAAACAATTCAGTGCAAGATTCAGTCTTCAGTCTGAAACAAAACAACTACATTGCAATCTAAAAAAGGCAACACTTTGAAAAACTAAAGTGCACTAGTAATCGTGCCAAAAATAAAGTCCACAGATATTGAACATTTTGTAAAAGAGACACGTTTGTTGAGATTCAGCGTCTGGTGTGTATCTCTATACAATGCACCTCCTCACTGCACGGAGAGTTCTTGTTCTGACCCAGCTCAGTTCTGTTCCCCAGATTGTGATAATTTCGGCCATACAGAGGTGGAATAGAGCCTATTGAAACTATACATGTTTCAATAGACTCATTGAAACATGTACAAACAGCACTGGAGTACAGACACGCTGTATTCTCAATTAGCACAATTAGCGGTGCATTTAACTTTTTGCATATGTGCTTTGTGAATTAGACACTCATTTTTGCACAGGCTGAGCAAGCACAAAAGCCATACATCCTTTTCTAAATTAGGCCCTCAAACTTATTGGTGCAATCAATGGAGTCGCCCCCCAGTGGACATTAATGAGAGTGCAGGTTGAAGGCAATTATACTTTATCCTTATTTGTTAAGGCAAAAGTCTGTGTCCACCTTCATATACAATCTACAATGCTGCTTTGGAATTTAAAGTCTCAAATTTGACTTCCACAACAAAGGAGTATCTGGCTGATCTTTTTTAACCATGTAACCAAAAGAAATAAATGTCTCCTTGAGCGGTGGAAATACTCGCTCAAACCTGTTTCAGTTGAAAACTGTAGATTCTTTAATGCTGGTGCATCTTACCAACGCTCTGCACAAACTGATCTTACTACAGGCTCTCCTTGTATTTCATTTGCAGCGCAGCACAAAGTTATTTCCCATGTGCCCACTTTCATTAAACCTAGCCTCTCACAACTGCCAGTCCATGACACTAACACCGTGACAACATCACTGAGCTTTTTGTTTCATGCATTTAATACACTGCCACAGCAAAGCTGGGGAGGGAAGTCTATTTAAAGACTGGCTTGTCTCATGCTGAAGTTGTGTATGGAGGAGTAGGAATCAGACTAAACCAGAAGTGACTATTTGATCTCTAAATTTCTGAATTTCTGAGGGCTGGATTATAAAACTAGTCTACTTTATTTTATCTATAAATTGATGCGATTAAGTTTCTTTGTTTTCCCTCAAGAACATGTTTATTAAGTTCCCACATGCAGAGCATTGACAAAACCTCGGATTGGTTGGTGAGATTACAGCACTATTAATCAAAGATTTAATCTAAAACAGCCTGTAAGAAAGTTTGTGGTTTTTAACAACTTAAAGCTCCTGTGAGGAGTTGTGAAACAGACTGAGATAAATACAGATGCCTTTAAACGTGACAGAAACGCAAACAAGACCATAAGCTGCAAGACTGATCATTTTTGTTATTTTAGATGCTTGTTACCACTGCCGCCTGCCAGGTGTCAGATAGTGAGTTCAACACAGTGCAGAAACTGTTAATCACAACAACATGATCACTCCTTACACATGTGCAGGACAGAATCAACAAAGAGATAAGAGTCAGCACTTTGTCTACAGGGGGCGCCAAAATCCCCAAGAACCTGAAGTTCATCACAGGAGCTTTAAAATTAAAGAACATTATATTGTCAGTGTATGATAAACAAATACAAACACAGTAACTTGTGAGTATCTTAGTGTAGATAGCACAGGATTGATACACTCATCCCTATGAATAATCCTCTCATAGTGCCACAGAGTTTGTAAATCGTAAATGGACTTGTAGAGCGCTTTTCTAGTCTTCTGACTACTCAAAGCACTTTTGCACTGCAGGTCACACCTACACATTCACACTCTGATTGTAAAGTGTCCATTAGTATTAACTAATCCCATTCATACACATTCATACGCCGCAGACAAAGTGGCTGCAGGAGCTTGGGATCGCACCCCCAAACTTCCGGTTTAGAGACGACCGACTACCAGCTGAGCCAGACCCAGAGGGGACGAGAGGAAACACATTTGACCAGAACACACATAATTACAGGAGGGAGAGGGATGATGGTGGTGGTAGCCATGGTGACCAGCCCATAATGACAGGATGATTGTGTAGCCTCAGAAAAAAAAAACAATCCCATCTCCTCCGTATCTCAACACAAGAAGTTGAAACAGTTTACTCCCCCAGCTAAAAACTACAGTGATGGGATGTTTTCTGTAACATACCCAGAGAGGGCAGGCCTTAAAGTACAGCAGATATTCATGTTTTCTTACTACGGCTGTTTTATGTGAGGATGATGATGGCCTTAAGAGTGGATAATTATACACCAGCAAAAATACATTCACAGCAGTTTTCTCTATATTGATCAAAGTGGATTTTTGTCACAATTCATTATGTTCGAGTTCATATTCATATTTAATAATACTCCTGTTTAAGGATTTTGGGATGAGGTCAACTTAAAGAAACCACACCTTCCATTAATTGAATTTAAAAATATACATTTTTAACATGTTTCTAAGAATGATGCGATACTCGATTGAGCTAAAAAGCCACAAAAGTCCACAGGGTGATAAATGCAAAAGTAGTCTCTCCAACAAAGAGTTGGTTTCAACTAATTAGTAGAACCAGCTTGTTGATTAATCAGACCTGGCCGTGTATCTTTGGCTGTCTCAAAGCAGATACTAATGTACTCCCTTCTACATAAACAAACAGTAGCCCACTGATCCCACTGTTAGTATGCTGTTAGCAACAAACTGAATTACTGACCACATTATGTTTCTCCAGTTCAAGCTACGTTGGATAAGCTAGCATCAAGCTAGCCCGACCTTAGTGAATGTGACGTCATATTTAGTCTGAATAGTATGAAAGTATATGGTTTCTGACACAGCCTTCTTCTATGTCTGTATCTGCTCTGTGTGATACTCATTTCAGTAGCACTGATGATTGTCAAGACGTTTTTTATTTACCTTTTTGTTCTGTGAGCACCTTTTGTTCTCACCATTCCTGTCCTCATTAAAGAGACTATTTTTACATTCATGTCAGTCAGTGGTCTTTTAGCCCAGTCGAGTTGTTGTGCAGGGGATCTCCTCTGCCATTTTCTTTTCACATTATTGTGAATAATGATTACATTTACAACAGGTTAAACATAACGACATCCTTTTGGCAACAGAGAGGACACTCAGTTCTGTTTTCTGCTGAATGCTGCAGTATGAAGCTGTATGTGTGCAGGAATGTAGAGTAGGTTTGACTGCAGGCGTCGTCCTGGCACAGAGCACCGGACAGCTTGGACTGAACAGGGGGGGACATACGGTGCTCAAATCATGCAGTCAGTCTCCCATCTTCTGCTTGTGTGTGTGTCTGCATGTGTGCTGCTGCAGTCCTAGATCACACAACATTAAACATGCATTCAAGCTAAGGAATTTGGGCAAGGATGGATACTCTTTTAAATATAGGAACAAGCAATGAAAGACCAGTGTTACTGCAGAGAATGCAAGACAATCAAAAATTCTTTATTGTTTTTTTATCCATTTGTTCTAGGCTTGCTTTTAGTCACTTCCTATCAAAGTGTAAAAATGTTGAACATGGTCTCTGTCTCCGCACAGTTTACCAAATCGCTGAAGCACTTTGGGGAAGAAGAAGGGAGGATGCAGCCTGATGAGTTCTTCGGGATCTTCGACACCTTCTTGCAGTCGTTTTGTGAAGCACGGCAGGACCTGGAGAACATGCAGCGACGTAAAGATGAGGAGGAGAGGAGGTCACGAATGGAGGCCATGGTGAGAGACACATTTTGATAATGATTAGAGCAAATGTCCTGGTGATTCCCATGATGGAACTCCCTCAAAAACACTGTATTTCACGCACATGGACACGTTTTTAAGAGCTAGCTGTGCATGCTCTGATAAGCTCAATGACAATCCAGGTGAAGCCGTTTTACCTTTCTGCAGGACGCCCCTGTGTTTCCTGTGAACCAAAACATGTCTTAGTCATATAATAATAGCCAGAACAATGATCTTTTTTTTTGTTCCAACCAAGTGGATTTGAGGCCCAAAACAAACATTTTACTAACAAAACAAAACCGTCACTATTTGGTAAGGTTTAGGTAAAGATCATGGTATGGGCTTGAATAATAACCAATAGTCCTACTACATCCATATCCAAATACAGACACACTTATAACATCCATCTGAGAAGATCTTTGCTGTTGGACATAATTTATGCATAATATCTGTATTTTAGAAATGTTTGCATGAAGTCATTATTGTCCCTTTTTCAAAGTCTGGTGGTCAACAGCTCACATTGCTGATCTTCAATACGATACAGAATGGTATGGCCAATATAATGTGATATGATACGGTACAGTACTTTAGGACAAGGTACGGTACAATTAAATAGGATACCATACACTTTATTGTTTTAAATCCATCTAAATTTAAACAGATTGAACCATCTCTATGTGATATAATATGTTTTTAGGGACTCTCTTTCCACCACCACTCCTCTAAAGTGTCTGCCTGTGTCCCCTGACTTCCTGTTCTTTAATTTTCCAGCTCAAGGAGCAGAGGGAACGGGAACGGCGGGCCAAGAAGAGCGGGGCCTCAGACGAGGTCGGCGGGGAGTTTGACGACCTAGTGTCGGCTTTACGTTCCGGTGAGGTCTTCGACAAGGACCTTAACAAATTCAAGCGTAACCGCAAGCGCTCTGTCAACCAGCTGGTGGAGGGCGGGGGCCGCGAACGAGCTGTCACCAAGGTCAACTACTAGGTCGAGGAATGGAAGGACAAAAACTAAAAACACTTAACACCTAAATTCTATTGAGGTGTTTGACACCTTTAGTCCAGGTTCTCGAGTGGTGACCTTTGACATAGGAGAGGCTGTACATAAAGGCTGGACATGTGGCGACATGTATGGACAGTAGCGCCACTTTGAAGGATGCAACACTCTCCTCTGATTTGGTCTTGTAAAGCTGTTTCCAACCTGTTTGTCCTGGGTGTTGTTTGATCTCATGAGCTGGATGAAGGACACTTGTGATTGGTTGATGGATGGATGGACGGACAGACAGACCACTGTGACGCACTATCCCATATCTTTTGACCCTATCCTTTTAACACTGTGTTCAAACTTCCAGCTCTCCATCACCCCTTCTTTTTCACTGCTCTTTATATCTTACAAACCTTTCTCCGTTTCTCAGTAACTTCCTCGGGGCTTGATCAGCCCATTCTCTGTGTATCTGGTTCTAGAGACACATAGGATGTTCAAATCCACCAGTCACGCTGTAAATAGATTCCAGGCCAAGAGAAAGGATTGGGAAGAAAAAGTATATCTGGAAAAAGAAGGTGGGGAGCTACGGGAACTAAGCCATTACCTCCACGGCCATGGTGGTTCCCGGGACGAGAGACACTCCAGCATCAGTGTTGGTGGATATTCATGAACTACCTTTCCCAGAATGCTTTGCAAGCTTCTGAAAGCGTGAGGAAGGGCACCACAACAGTGCTTCATAACAGAGGATTTATCCCAACCTGGCCTCTTGAAATGCACAGCATTCACAAGTAGGGAGTTATTTCAGAGGACACAAAATGAAAAAAAAAAAACAACCTCTCTCATCTTGTTCCACCCGACAACACGATGACTGTGCCACCAGGTTTTAGCCTCACCTACACTCTCCAATGGTTTCAACATTGTTCTGAGAGAAACACAAATGTAAATGTATTAACAAAAAAACATACTGCAATTAGGCGTTGATATATATTTATATTCAGATGCAGACAAGCTAATTGCAAAGATGTAGAGGGTTTTTTTTATGTTTTCATGGCATTTGGGGGTTTTGTACACACGATGCATTATTTGTTGGTGTTGCAAGTTCACATTGCTGTTGAAGTGAATTTCTATACATTTTGCGCTTTATGTAAAATAGATAATTGCTTGACCTTTTCTCACCAGTATGTGTTGTTTGCACTGTAGATTTTCTGACAAAACTTCACACTCAGTGGTTCCCACAGGCTGGTCTCGTCGACAAAGTCCTCTCTGTACTTAAAATACCTTTATGTGTAAAAGATAATGAAGGAATGCCACATGAAAATTAAAACATAAAGGCATATTCGGCGGTTTGTTTACAGTGCTCTCACTGCTCAGCTGTCTGCTTGCATCTGAATGTGTTTTCTGATTCATCTGCTGCAACCACTATGCAGACCAGAGGGTGCGAAAATGATGCTGCATAACGGTTCCCATCCATTGTATCTATAGGATCTTTTCCACTGGTGCTAAAACTTGTGGTTTATGTAAAGCCATTAGTCCACTTTAGGATTTAAACCAGGGATTTATTGCTAAAATTCAGCCTCATTACATACATTTCTGTGTTTTTATTTGAGCTGGCATTGTGATTTCAGACCACACTTTGTAATCAGTATGTTACAACAGAGCACTTAAAGGGTGTACACAGTGTACAAATGATTACATGGAAATGTTAAGGGTTCTTTGATGGTTGTAAGTTTGAAGAAAAAAAAAACAGAAGTGTGCCCATAGAGCATCAGAAGGATTTAAATTGGGTTATGAAGAGTCGGCCGTTCACCATATTCACATGGCAGCCATTTTTTTCTGGCAGCTAGCTCAGGATGGGAAGCTCAAATTCTGCTATCGGAAGGAAACTGTTGTATTGCTGTGTACATATTTCAAAGTAGAAAAACATGGATTTAAGATTTATCAGTAACTGAAGTGATAATGGTGGTAGAAACAGAGATACAGGGATATCAGAACATATAGCCTATTAGCTAGCATTGGACAGCAGCTAGCAGCATTCAACAACAAACAGTGTAACGTGTGTAGCTGTTAGCTGAAGTGGTTGAATGCTAATGTGAGCTGTTGTCCAACAGAAGCTAATGTGTAATTATTTATTATATATATATATATATATATATATATATATATATATATAAATTATATTTGAAGATTGCTCGGTATTCCCTCGGATTGTCACTGCCCGCTGTCTTTTTAGTTGCTAAACTTTATAAGAGCATTAAAAGGAAAAAGGAAAATTGTAGCTTCCCACCATTATACGACTTCCTATGTGCCACCAAGCAGTTTATTGTGTCAGAATTTGAGCTTCAGTGTGTGTATGGTAAATGCAGATAGTCTCTTCTTGTCAGTTTTTAAGGGTGATGAGGAAGCAGATAGGTTCACACTCCATTAAATGAGGAAGGAAGTGCGATTAATATGCTACGTTTGAAAATGCATCTGCATCATCTGCATCATCTGCATATAAAGAGTTGGAAGGCAAAGAGTTGGAATATCATACATGGTTACATCTCTTTTTGTTTTTTAAATAACCCATGTCATTCAAGGTTGTTAGTGAGCTCCAGAGACCAGGAGTAGAGTTTTAAGATTGGATTTGGTCTTTTTCAGAGCAAAGGGACAAAAAAAAGAAACACCCTGTTAAATCTCCTTTGTTGGCTCAAGACGTGAGAAGTAAAAAAGGAATAATTTAGTTATATTTGGTATGATTATAACCAAACACGAGATACTTGTGCCCTTATTGTGTGTGGATGTATCAAGTGTGAGGCCCCTGATGTAGTCTGTAAAAACAAAGAGGTTAAAGGTTTTTCTCACAGTGACAATTACAGTTAACACTTGTCTCCTTTCCTCGGATTAAATCAGATCAATGACCCCACAGCACTTGAACCAATGAGCACTTGGTGTACAAACAAAGAAGTACATTTCCAAAAAGATTAATTCTTATGTCATTCAACAAACTGAACCTTTACTCTACACAAACTTCTGAATGCCACACAAATCTCCACAGTAGTGAAGGCTATCCCAGTTGGTCTCTGATATGATTTGATCCAACACATTTTTGTTTCACCTTTAAGTGCCTCTGTACCCGTTTTCACACACGTATCATTCCTATTATTGTGTCAAGTGCTTGTGGCTTTCCCAAAAAAATAGTGTTTTCCAGAAGCTGACAGTTTGAATCGGCCTAATTGGCGCCACCTTGTGGCTGCAGATGGTGCACTGTGTCAACACCTACTTCTCCTGAGTGTTAACACTAGGTGCCAGTTGACCTGAACGTTAGTTAAAATGACTCACTCACTTCATTTTTCCATAAACTGTAACTTCACAGAGAACCATCATCCTACCAGGAGGTTATTTCTTAGATTTTTCTGAAGTAGAGAAAAGCTAATGTAAGGTTAAAAAGGTGAGAAGTGTGCAGAGAGGATCTTTGAATCTTTGAAGAGATTAATTGGTAAACCAAAAAGATTTAAACATTCAGACACTTTAAAAAATCTAAAAAGCCCCTTATATCTTAAGGGGAAGAGGACGTTTGATTGCCTATTCTTGAACCAACGTCTCATGTATTTTTGAGCTGTTCTATTTCCTAACCTCTGCTCCTTTGTCTTTCAAGTAAATCCAAGTAAGTATTTCAGACTTTGGCAGACCCTTCACACTCTTAATCCAGAGCTTTAACCTGTAGTGTAGTGCAGACTATTTACTGAGGGGTATTGCAACATTGTCAGTATTATTACATGTTTATGTTGTTACATGTATGGATGTTTATTTGGCCATTGACTGGCTGATTGGAGTGTACAGATGGAAATCAGAGGAATGAAATTAGTAGCTTGTTCATTGCACTTTTATTATGGGACATTTCCATTTGCAGCGCCATTATGAGGGGCTCAGATCCCTCCTAACTTGAGAAGGGTGCAACGGAAGAGCGGTGCAGAAAAACACGGTGTGAAGAAGAGGAGGGAGATAAAGGGCAAGTGAGCTTGGACGCTCCGGCTGGGCCGCTGTAAACACATTAATATTCAGTCTGTATGGATGGCAGAGGTGGGACTTTTGAGGACACAAAGAGGTGACACTTGTTTGAAACAGACACCTATATGTGTGTGTGTGTTTGTGTTACCTCCTCAGATGTGTCAGGGGGAAAAAGGTAATGTTGTCACACTAACACATTTCTATGAAATCATGCACTTGGCGTCGACCTGCATGCCTAAACAACGTGCACAAAGAGTGACGTGTTGACTTTCACCTTTTAATAGAAAATCGTTAGAAAAATGGAACACACCTGTTACACAACAGTTTGTACCGCCTGAGAAAAAGTTGCACCCACTTTTAGAGGTTGTACCATGGTGAGGAGTCAGTATTTTTATGGTTGGAAAAAAAAGAATCCTCCACTGAAAAATGTACAGTTGGATAAAAAAGCATTTTGTACACGCTTGATGTTTGAGATGACATTAAAAAAGATAAAAACATTGAGGAATGTTCCATTTTCCTGTAAATTGTACCTCTATTTATTTGCCTTATTTAGTTTGCTATATTTTGTATGTACACACAGCATTACAATAAAATGTTATATTAAAAAATATGAATAATTCAACTGTGGTCCATGTATGATGGATAGTTTTGAGACTTGTATAAGAATGCAAATCTTTTTCTTTTTTCATTTCTATAATTTTATTTTTGTTTTGTATTTTTTCTCACCCTGTGTCTTTGGTAGGGTTACAATAAACTTTTGTCCCTTAAAACTCATCTGTGTTTTTTTCCTCTTCATTATCTGTTATCTACAACTCTTTGGTACACAGATGTAGGCCTACATAACTTTAGGAATCTAATTTGTAATCTAATCTCATGCTGACATTAGTCCTACTCGTCATTTTACTGAGAAAAAATCATAATATTGATGAATATAATGGATGAAGTTGTTACTCAAGTATAAATCTCTACACGGTTTGCTGCTTTATAGTTTTCAGATGTTTTATAGAACAAATGCTGGACTGATGTGACATTTATAACTAAATTAATGAAAAAGTATTCTTTCATTATCTACATAGAAAAATGAACATGCACAAAAAGAGGAAGAATATATCGATACAGGCCTAAATCTTTTGATGCATATAAACATTTGAAATATGTATTAATGATTTTAAGATGATGTAATCTCACCACCATTAGCAAGACAGTCCAGAATCATAGCAGTTTATAATCCTTCTGGTTTGGTATGCATTTTAAATCTCACCCACCTGATTGGGTTAAGTAGGACCTGATAAGTATGAAAAACCCAAGTTTTCATAAATAATGATTTACAGTATGGGGACTTTAAAAAAAAAGTATAACACAGAAAGACACCATTATGTAACTAATTAAAGTATATACACATGGCCGTGCAAAAACTAATTAAGAAGACGTTTTCACAAAGCATAAAGGGTTTATTTTAATGCCAAAAGCTGGTCGTTTTAAAACATAAAGGAAAACCAGTGTGTGTGCATCCAGCTGCAGGAGGAGAAATGTAGACCTACTTACTGCAGAAAACAATTGACAATTTTATTGCAATGGAAATGTTGCCCATTAGGAGCAGAACAGTATGCAGACCTTTTTCCTCTGTAACCCATATGAAATATAGGGCTACTTATTAAACCCATGTTGTCTAGATGTGCAGTTATCCATTTCCCCCAGTAGAGGTCGCTTGCTGCTGTGTAGCAGCATCCAGCAGCAGTAAAGTGCCATGTGAAGCCCGCGCTTCTTGTTCTATTGTCCTGCAGACATGAGGTTCACAGACACGACCTGAAAATGCTTTTCCTGGTATAAATTGGCATAAAATAGTCGTAAACTTTGATTAATCCAGTCATAAACTTGTTTTGGTGTTAATAAGTCTGCTCTGTTAGCAGAACACAATGAGTGAGCCTGAGTAAGATAACTCCCGTCGAGTTGTTATTGTGTTTATGAATCTCAGGTGAGTTCATGTTAGCCTAATGCTAATCTCTGTGGAGAGAAAACTGACTGTATGTGCTGTTTAAGTTCAGATACTTTTACTTAAATACCAAACGGAGTTACCAGATGATTTTCCTACATTGCCACTGTCCTCTGGTGCACTTCATGTCATTGTTTATATGTTTAAAAAAGATCACTAATGCTAGCGCGAGTTGCTAACGCTAATGGCTAACCCATAAAATTAGACTGGCTAGTAATATGATGTGCAACTGTATGCTAGAAGCTAGCTAATGCTAATGCTAAGCTAATGTAGCATTCGCAGCATAGTGGCACAGACTGAAACCTTACAGGAGCACTGATATGAAAACAACTTGTTTAAGTGTATTTATCCACTTTAATGGTTTAAAGTACAATTAAAATGTGGTTTTACTGATGTTAGTTGTTAAAATGCACTACTTAAGTTTACTAGTAGTAATAATTTAAATCATTTTAAGGTTTTAAAAGGTAATACATTGAAATTTGTATATAAGAGTTTTAAAAGGGAAATATGAACAGTTAAAGTGTTTGAAGGAATAAATAATTCATTTATTTGCTAAAATACCGTGACATAAGGTAATTCATTGTAAGTCTTATTTTTGTGGTTAAAAACTAATTGTTTTGATACATAGCAATTCATTTTATTGTAGTTTTTCCTTGGCTTTTGGTTAGACATTGAAAAATACGCTGAAGTAGTTAATGAGGTCTCATGTTAGAAACAGAATAAGAACTTGATCATTTACAATTCTGCACTATTTGTGTACCACAGCATAGATGAACTTGATGGCGAGCCCAGTGATTCAGAGGACGGTCACTTACGCAGTGTGGCCAGCTGCAGTACCTGCTCAGAGGACGTCAGATTGCTTGACTCATTGGGTTGACTCCAGATAAGACACATACACTCTATTAACTTACCCGGGTAATAAACATTGACACTGAACACACATATCTGGATTTTCCCCCTGAAACTGAACTCTTTTGAGCTTTGAACTCTTCTCTTCTCACAGCTCCTCTCTATAGAGGAGCATTTGAGCTGGAAGTCCAACTCGAAGGGACTTTCGGTTTTCTTTTATTTTTTATTTTTTTTATTTATTTTGGTTTAAATGTTTCTTGATGCTCTTATCTATTTAACCAGGTTAGGACCACAGGTGCTACATCTCCGTTGAAAAAAATTATAAACAAAAAAATCTCCTGAATGTCCTTTTAGTCTCAGGGTTTTTCCTGCATAGAGAATTCTTGGGCGCCCCCCAAAGAGGTTTTACCCTGCACCAAAAGAAAATCATGAGCGTCAAAAGAAAAAAAAGACGATTCAAATTACAAATCAAATCCTCTCTGAATGTTTGTTAAAAATATCAATACATCAAACGACTGTTGAACAATCAGAACATAAACTTAAATACGACGTCTCTGACTTCTAGCAGTCATCTCCCCTCTCATCCATTTACACATGCGGCTCGCGCTGGATAGCCAGCTGATTGACTGTTTGTTTCTTTTGACTGGTTCTGGACGCTCCGCTGACACCCACGAGCGCTAAATGCGGGGTGATTTTCTGTTTGGCAAGTTAATTTCAAAGAGCAATCCACTTAATGGTGGTAAATATTTATCCCAACAGTCATGTTAAAACTATACTAAACCGCATATGTTGTAGCTGCGGCTACTTGTCCCTGCTCCTCTGCTGTCTGCAGACGGGTCTTCGGGGGGGGGGGGCACGCCGAGACGAGACACACGAGACACATGGCTGCAAACACACACACACACACCGGAACGCCAACCACCGCGCACACCTGTTTACTTGTAATGCAACTGTGCAACGGAACACGGTTGATCCGCTATCCGTATGGACCGAGTCGGGAACGCACTTTTCTCCGTTCACTTCCACCGTGTCTGCTTTTATCAACAATCAATAACTTAACAATCGTTAACGTCAGCCATCTGTAGTCTGTGAACTTCTCCACACAGACTGTCAAACAGCGCTGCGTTATAGCCAACAAATATATTTTTATTATTTCTCAATTTCCTGATCTGATCTAATGATCCAAATGATCTGTGACTTAAATCTGTGATTATTTGAAATACCGTATTGGTTTGAATATAAGACAACCCCCGTTTTTCAACACTCACATTTAGAAAAAAAGATTTGCAGACCAGATCTTGTTTTTATAAAGAACTTTATTTTATTTGAAAATAACAATATTAAAACACATTGAATTAAACACCTGTTGTATTAATAATCATTATAATAATAATTGACATACCGTATTTATCGGTATAGGCCTACAGCACTTTTCAAAACAAAGTGTTTCACAAGGGCGAACTATGTACAGTATGATTCAAAATTAAAATCGATTAACAATCAAGCAATATTATCAACATGTTTTTAACATTTTTAAATAACAGAGGAAATACAGGCAACTTTTTTAACTAAACTACCGCTAAACTAAAACTCTCCAAACTTCTCCTCCGATGTCTCCTCTCTATTCCTCACACACACACTCTGCCCCGCTGTGTTCACTCTCGCTCTCATCGCTCCCCAATATTATAAACACCTGTTGTTGTAATAATGATAACAATAATAAACGTAGGCCTATTTATCGTTATATGCTACGGCACTTTTCAAAACAAAGTTTTACACAAGGTCAAAATATGTACAGTATGATTCAACATTAAAATCAAGCAATATTATCAACATTTTTAAATAACAGAGAAAATATAGGCCACATCTTTAACTAAACTAAAGCTTGCCAAACTTCTCCTCCGATGTCTCCTATACACACGTCCTCCACCCCGCTGTGTTCGCTCTCACTGTCATCACTCCCCTGCTCCTCCCAGAGCGCGTCATGTGTGTTGACATTTAAAGGGACAGGCGAACAATTAGAGCTGCGCTCTGAATACTAGACCCCGAATACAAGACGACCCAACTTTTTCGGACCTATTTCGATGGGGAAAAAGGCCGTCTTATATTCGGACCAATACTGTAATACCTTAGTAACTCAGATAAATGTACTTAAACAAATGTGTATGTTAAACGAAAACACAATTCAAAGGAAAAGAGCAGCCATCATAGGAAGAGGGTGAAATGCACTGGCAGGATATGATCCCCCCTCTGCCAATCCCATTACACCCCTCTCCCTTAAAATCCTTCTCCTCCCCTGTTTCACTGTTGCAATAAAAAAAAATCTTTACCAGATTTAACTGGGGTGTCAGTAACTTAAGCATAATGATAATATTATTTATAAAATGGTCAGAAATAACAGGAAATGTACAGATTTCTGTCAAATAAGGTAATATAGACTCAGATTATACTGTAATACACAAACGTTTACTACAGCGCGTATAATCACCCCCCAAAGGCCCATTCTGAGTCTGCAGGAACAACACATAGCTGAGCTGCTATGTTTTGTTTTACCATATAGCTCTGAATCAGTCAGTCAGTTAGACTGAGACAGGTGGGGTGTCAGTCAGTCAGTCAGTTAGACAGGTAGAGTGTCAGTAACTCAGGTATGGTGTGTGTAAGTAAGTTAGGAATGGTACCAGTCAGTAAGTTGGGTATGTTGTCAGTTATTTAGGTACAGGTATGATGTCAGTCAGTGTAGCCAGTTAGAGTGTCAATCAGTAAGACAGGTGTGGGGCCAATTCAGTAAGTCAGGTAGGTTGTCAGTCAGTAAGTCAGTCAGTAAGTCAGGTGACCAAACCATGATGGGCAAAGTTTCAATGAATGAGGCCTACGAACTGACAACTTAAAATGATGAATCTTGTTTAAAGCCCCAATGTGTAACTTTGAAGATAAAGAACCATGTCGACGCAGAAGGTACAGTAATATTACCAGTTTTTTATTTTTTGGGGGCATTTTCTGCCTTTTATTGGAGAGAGAGGATAGAGTCTGAAATAGAGTCTGAAATCAGGGAGCAAGAGAGTGGGGAATGACATGCGGTAAAGGAAAACCTGAACGTCTACAGCCCATTGTTCAGTTTGTGTATGTGTATACAACTGTTACCATGATGCCTCTAGGCCGTAGCTAAATGGCTACATGTATACATGCTAGTTGTAGAGCGGTCTTGTAAGGTTATAAACTTTTTTGAGACAACGTAAGATAGATATATTTGTCTATTTGTCTACAAAGAGACATACCTTGTGTTGACTTTTTGCTCCCGGTAAAATTGCTAAACGTGAGACAACGATGACATCGGTAATGATGCAGCCTGACGTTACGTCTCAATCGGTTATAAATAAGTCTGCAGGGATGTTTATTCTGCCATCGAATAGTTGCTTTCCCATTAGGCATGAAACAGATTATATTACTGACTTGTTGGGCAATATTATAACTAGTCTGCATCCATGTACATGTAATAAGTTATGCTATAGTGTTCTGTTTATGCATTGCAAACAGTGGATGAGGTTTTTGTTTTACAGCATCGGTTTTCCTTTTATTCCTGGATTCAACCTCAAATTGCAGCATATAGACAATGTGTGTTATGGCTGCTTGGGAGAGGGGAACAGAGTTCGGAATCAAAGCTGCTGCCTCTGAAAAATCAGAGAAGCTTCCTCTAAAAGGATAGGAATCCTAGTTCTTCACCCTCCTGGAGCTTTGTTATAATGGACCTGAGCCCTGATGATGCACAGCTGTGCAGGCAGAAAGTTTAGGAGCAGCTTCTCCCTGTGAAATGTGAGTAAAGTTCAGCTGTGGGTGGTGCCTGTGGATCATCAGCACTTGGACTCTGTTTTGGAGGAAGGCCCGTTCAACTTCGAATTCTCTTTGCATCAATGGCTGTTGTCTCTTTCAAGGTGTACACACTCCAGCTTTGATTTTTTTTATTGCAGCAACCTTGGACAATAATATAATGTTGTATTAGAGTTGTAAAACTTGGAGATATATAAGCTCATCTTGTATCAGACTGCATTTATGGCGCAGTTATGTTACCATGAATTACACCAGTAATAAAAGTAACAACAGTTTTTGCAATTGTTGCAATAACTATGTCCTTTGTATCAAGTTGTAGTGTAATTCTGTACCAGGACCAGAAGAGGGCAGTGTGGTTATACCAATGAATCACAAAAATTGAAGAATACTGAGACAAAACAACCTAATTTTAAAGATTTTATTATAAGACTTGTGAACATTTAAACATCATGAATATGTTTCAGCAACCACATAACCCGATTTAATTGAAAATTTCTTAAAAAATAATAAAATAATAGTTACTATCTAAATAATTGAAAAGCAAATTATCATGTGCTTTTAAGAGGAAAAAATCTGCAACTGCATTACCTGAATTAAAAATGGATTTAGATCTGCAAAATATGTGGTGCACATTTTCTTAAGAAGCTGATTTACAGAAGTTAAAAGTTGAACGTATGAATACATTACAGTATGACACTGGAGGTTTCAAACCAGCACCCAAATGTAATTTACAAGTCATTTGCTTTATAAAGAAACATATTGAAATAACAAAATTAATTTTAAAATAATTAAAAAGCATGTATTCGTGTGCTTAAGTAATTATGTTCTATTTTAAAAACTGCATTACCTATATTGAAAATTGTGTTTCTCTATGACCTGTGTGTAATGTTACTGTTACATACTTTTTATAATGGGAAATTATTATGATAAAAAGGTGTCATTTTTACACTATTGTTGTGGTGTTTTTTAAGATAATATAATAATCAGTTCCTCCCTTGTCTGGTTTCCCTAAATGTTGATTGCCCTGATTGTCCATACCTGTGCCCTTAGTCTCACCTGTGTCTGATTACCACCAGTGTCTAGGCCTTTTCCACAAGTAGGCCGGTATCTTCTTAAACAGAGGTTTTCCTTTGCCATTTAAAAAAAGAATCCTGTCTACACAAGCTCTAAAAACATCTTCATCCACATGAAAATGCAAAACACATTGTTACGGCTTTCGTGAGCATGCCAGGTCAAAAACAATGACCATGACATACTAAAATGTTCTTGCCATTTCTGTGCAATGACCATTTCATTTGCAAAGTTGTCAACTCAGGTGCCTCTGCTCGTCAGCATAGTGGGAGAGCAGCTGTTTCATTTATGTGTAAGCATGTAAAAGGTCCACTTAGCAACGTTAACGTCAGCACTAGTTTGGTTACGTCTGCTTTCGCACTAATCTCATGTAAACTAAAGTGACAAAGTTGCACAATGACGTCAAAAGGAGGAGAAACCGGCACACTCTCTGTTACAAGACCAAAACTCAGTTTTCCCTGTCTACACCTCAAACAGATTTTCTGAAAATCTTCACCCTTGGAGCAGTTTTCAAACGGTGTGTTTTCAGTGACCTTAAATGCCGTTTACTCGTGTACGAAAGCCTCAGTTTTAAAAGAAGAACCGCCTACGTTTGGACTAGACCTTAGTCTCAGTGGTCCTTCCCTACAGGTGTCAGTTCATTGTCAGATGTTCCCCGTGTTGCTGCATGAAGTTTCCTCGTAGCACTTGGTTTTCTTCTTTTGGATTTTTGTTGGATTTAGAAAAAAAAGCCTTATTTTGCCTTTTATTAAAATATACTTCTGGTCTTCTGCACATGGGTCCTCTTTGTTTTTTCAGTCTCATGACACAACTGCACAATAGTCTATATGATGCACAACATGTTTAAATATGCAGCTAATTTACAGAAGTATAAAGTTGAATATATGAATACATTTGTTTGCACTATTACATTGGGGGTTTCAAACCCATGGCCTTTTTAAATACCCGATGTGCATCTTCAGCAAGCATGTCGAGGAAAGTGTTGAGACCTCTGTAGGTTGTGATGTAAGACAGGGCCATTGCTGTTGGGATTCCAAAGACTGGAATGAATCTGGTCCCTTCCTCTACTGCCTTTAACGTTATTTGGTTGGAACTCTGGGCAAACACCTTCATTACGATCGGAGGAGTTACTTGTGTTGCTGTTAGTGGTGAAATTGTGGCTTCTTTTAATTCCTTTAAAGGAACACCTGCCCTATTCGCTAAGCTCTGCAGCGACTTGATGTCAAGACCAAACTTGTATACGTACTGCTTCACCACACCAACCAGCAAGCCTATATCAACAGCAATAGAAAGCCCGGGAATTAATACACCTGCTACAGCTGAAGACAGAGTAGCAAAGTATTTAATTTTTGAATGAAGAGCCTTTTTCTTTTTGTTGATGATCTCCCGGCTGATATTGGGCATGGCAAACAGAAAGGCATCTCTCTTGTGTTCAGGAAGTTCTCGCTCCAGAGTCTCCTCTAGCAGATGGAAATCATACAGTTGCAGGTCAAAGCTGGACACCAGGAAGACCTGAGGAGACTTGAGACCTTGTTCCTGAAGACCTGTCACAAGCAGAATTTATATTAGCTGATAAAATATTTTGAATCCCAAAGATATTTCCCACTAGTAGTGTGATCTAAACAGTGTTACAAAGAAATTCACTCACTGTACTAATGTTTCGTCTGGCTATATTATACTATATATGTAACATTAAGCCAGGCTGTGGCCGCGTTGTAACGGTTTATCAAGGGGCTTAAAACCCGCCTCAGCTCCATTTTTCAGCCTGTCGTTAGGTTGACTGAAAGTTAGGGTGAGACAGCATTTCCAGCAGGAAGACTGCCATCTATGGGACCCAAAGCCCCCTGCAGTAACAGATGAGTGACGTTACTTGCTTTATCCATTAACATGTAAATCACTGTACAGGGGAGGATGTAATGGTTTGGCTTAAAACCAGCCATCTCTCAACCTGTTAGTAGCCCATCAATGGGACTCCAAAGCCCCCTGCAATAACAGATGAGTGACGTCACTCACACTTCATCCATTAATATTTAAGGTCTATGGTTTAAACACAGACTTAAAAACAGACATGGACTGAAATGAAAACATGCCGAGAAATCTATCAGAAATCAACAACAATTGTGCTGCAATTACAGACACAATGAATTGTCAAAAACACACTAATCCTCACAACAGCTGTGACAGACAAATGCTGCAAATCAGTTTCTGCTGATGATGTAGAGAGCTGGTTTATCTCACTTGTAACTATCAGATGATAAAATTATGTTGTCTTTCCTGAAACCTCTGGCACTTGATTTAACTTACTGGCATCCTTGACGTGTTTTGTTTGTGCTGTCTGGAATGTTTGGCTAGGTAACTCTTTCCTTGTTGCCTGTATACCTATGGTGTCAGTTTCGCTGCTCCCATGATTTGATTATGAAGCCAGCATCCAAATGTCATTTAAAAGTTCTTTGAATTTTAAGTAAACATATTGAAATAATCAAAAGCATGTAATCGTGTAACCATGGTCGTGTAAAATCGTGATTAATTGTATGCTATTTTGTCCCTGTCTAAGCCTCCGCTGTGTCTCCCTGTAGTCACAGTGATGGGAAAGAACAGGACTGCTGCATCTTTGAATGTCTAATTACACTTTAAAATACTGACAGCTCAGTTGACAAGTCAACAGTCATTTCCACCTTATGACATCAAACATTAATGACGAGTAACGACTTCCTTTTTCCGTGGTTAAGTTAATGTTGTAACCTTCGATCTTCCAGAAGGTCCTTACTTTATTTCAAAATAAAAGAAGGGTTGAATTCAAACGGCAAATATAGTACACTCTTCAAACCATAAAACAATTCAAAATAAAAGCCTTTTTACAATTTATATATTTAAATGCGATATAATGGAATTTCAGACATGCGATTAAAGATGTGATTAATCATGATTATCTTTTGAACATTAGCGATTTATTGCAATTAAATAATTTAATCGTGTGAAAGCCCTAATAAAACATTAACACTGAGAGATACTAGTCTTTTAATGATTCATCACTTACATTGAATGCAGTTATCCTTGATTTTTTTCAGAGATCTTTCTTTGTTAAAGTCTCTCTGAGTTCTTTCCTCGTCACGCATGCTATTGTCAATCTTTGAGCGAACAAAGTAGAACTTCTTCTCCATCCTCTGAATCTCTTTAGCCAGCCTCACATCGTTTTCTTTGAAGCGATCGGATGAAACAATGATGAAGAAGTCAAACTTTTCAAATCCAACATGCTTCATGTACTTGTCAGCTGGAAACTTTGTGGTGCCGATACCAGGAAGATCCCAGAATGTCACATTGGGATGGTTGGGATGGGGGTACGGGTTAACCTCCATGGTGGTTTCTGTAGTACCAGTAGGAGCAGCTTTCTCATCCCTGTTGTCTATGCCTCTAAACGCATTAACAAAGGTGGATTTACCAGAGCCAGACTCTCCAGTTATAGCAATATTTAGTGGAACATTTTTCTGTTGATCGAAATATTCATTGATCTTTGCAACAGCTAAGGCTTGGTCATTTTTTAGGAGAGCTTCTTTAATTTCTTTGTGTACTTGTTCACTGTCAAATGGATTCCCCATGGTGCCTCTTGGAATCTGAGTAAAAGAAAAGTAAAACTTTTTCTATTATCCTCTTAACATCATGCACAAAACAAAGTAAGACAGATGCAAATATACAGTGTGTGGTAGTACAGCAACACATTCAGCCATTATCAGATTCTCTCTATGAAATAAGTAATTAAATACTTTTTCAGATAATTCAAGGAATGGGCCGGGCAAAACTAAAAAAAACAGACAAACTTATTTTGCACTGGAGAGTCATTTAAAACCAAAGTGTGATGAACCATCTGTATGTCTTTTAACCTGTTTTGGCCTGTTTAAGCAGCTTGTATCTTATCATCAAAGATTACTTACCTAGGAGTCAAATAGCAGAAGCAGTTGAGACAAAAGCAGATCGCTGTACAAGTTGTTCACCTGCAGGAACAGCATTCACATAGTTTCTTTACTTCATTTAAATTCAAAAGAAGTTTTTTTTATCATAGTCCAGCCCTTTAGGTAGTAACCAATAAGAAGTCTTCTGTTAGTTAAGGATCACCCATTGGTCTTGTATAATAGCAATATTGGAAGTTGCGCATCACCACACCCCCTGCAGGTTTCTAAGAGCAAGGCCAAACATTTCATTTGTAGTTAGTCTATTCTTTGCCATGGCTGCTAATGGAAACCCTCCTTCCATGATTCTTTGTGTCCCTTGAATATATTAGGCTCTTTGTTGGTTTCACTATTGTACAAATGTTCATCTTTCAGAAACGGCTCCCTACATGCAAGATAAAGAGTTATCTGTTTGCCATCCAATCTTGGAAAATGTTTAAGCTTGAAACGCTCACCTTTTAAGCTTGAGCTATAATTTGAAATGGAATTTTAAATATTACATTTGGATTAAAGTCACCAAGGTCTATTCTATGGCACTTGATTTAACTTACTGGTATCCTTGTCGTGTTTTGTTCGTGTTGTTTGGAATGTTTGGCTAGGTAACTCTTTCCTCGTTGCCTGCATACCTGTGGTGTCAGTATCGCCTTACGCATGATTTAAATATATAAACACCTTAAACAACACTCACTGGTTCTATCAAGAGGAGAAATACAGGACCACATTATAAGATTAAATAAGTTCATGTATGTTAAATATTAACATATGAAAGAGTTAAATTGTAACCTTGGTTCCCTGAGTGAAGAGACTATCTCTCCACCCCATTATATAACATGTATGTGATATGTTTCCCCTGCTCTAGTGTCAGTAGATAAAACTGTAAGAGACAACGGCTTGCCTAGCCATATTTAAAGCACCTGTGCTGGCATGCTATCACTGATAGTTTTATTGGAACTTATTTCCAAGGAGCCTAGAGGCTGCAATGATAGCCTCTTCACTCACAAACCAGGGTTACAATGCAAACATACATTATCTACTGAGACTATCTCTCCGCCCTGTTACATAACATGTACAGGGTAATTCTTTTAGACACCCTGCGAGAACAGTGCAGCACACAATCCAATAAACACAAGTGCACCATTTACATGCCAACATAACCAGGCTTCACAAGGCCACACCTGAGAGGCAGTACCAAGACTCAAAACCAACCCAAGAATATGGACAAAGGCCCCATCAAGCACACAAACAGAGTCCATGCAGGTCAACCCTCAACTGCTAGCTAAGGGAAACCCTTTTGTCTAACAATAAGCCCAACTCAGTACCCCCTCCCAAAAGGACGGGCTGCTACATAAAGATGGTAGAACCTGGAAAATGTGGTCTTAGATGAACATATAACAGCTGTACTTATAGCAGCAAGAGAGGCTCCCCGCCACAACTTCCAGGAAGTAGCCACACTGCAAGAGCACATACGCTCTCTGGATAATATCCACAACAAATTAAGATAGTAGAGACTCTAACCAGGTTTCTTCCAAATGCCCAGAGCAGAAAAGAGATGGTTAGACCTCCTGACGGCACCTTCAGGACTCTGCTGGATCCCTAACTGGGCCTGCAGTCAGTGTGTATTCACCAATCTGAACCTGTGCAATCTGATTGGGCTGCAGGTACAGCCTTATGGTACTAGTAGTGACAAGGACACTAGCAGAAAACAAAAAGAGTTTAGGGTCCTGCTTTTGCCCCTCCATTGCACCTGTTACTTTCATTTGCACCAAAGCAGGTGAAACTGATTTACAATCACTTGTGCTAAGTGAACAGATTGATAGCCCTGAAGTCTAACTGACTTGGTGGTCAATTGTTGTGTCAATTCAGTGTTGCTTTAATTTTTTGAGCAGTGTATTAATGTGCTAAAGTTGAGAACTGAAGCCCATCTTGGACTACCTAGATTCTACCTTGAGGACTTGGACTTAGGCTCAGGTAATGGGGACTCTACTTGGACAGAACTCAGATTCATCCGGGGTAAATTGTAATTCTTGATTTACAAAATGTGAACTAATAAAGTTCACTGGAGGATAAGAGATGAATGTTTAGCTTCTTCATTTACTGGAAGTCAGTCTTTCCTGCAATGACTTGTAAGTATACTGCTATGATTTTACTTTATCAAAGAAGGTTGTCTTTGTTTCTTAGTGCTTACATTACAGTCAGGAATCTTTTGGCATGTTTACAGACCCATGTTTACAGCTCTGTGATCTGCAGTATCTGTGGTTCAGATTGAGTGACAGAGTTTACCAGCAGTTGAGTCAGACAACTCACGTTTGTATCGTTTAAAATATATATTTCAGCAGAGCATAGTTTGTGTTTCTAGGCTCCGACCTCATCACTACTCACAGTTTAAATTTACTTGCAGAAATTTAAGGAGTGATGGGATGATATCTTAAACCCTCCATCTGGAGCCTATAGGTGGATGCTAAGGTGGTGGTGGGGCTTAGCAAGAGTGCAGTACTGGTGCAGGTCAGAGCTGACAATGCAGCTTAAAAAGACCGCTAATTGAAAGAAGGTGTTATCATGGGTTTTTGAGAATGAGGCATGTCAAGGTTGAAATCAGAGCAGCTCGAGTTGACTGCCTGAACTAGATCATAGGCGTCACCTCATATTTGTTTGCTGTATGCTGATGAATAAAATGAGAAATGTAGTGATGATTCAGCTGTAAAAGATCGTAGTTTAAATTGTTGGAGCTTATAGATTTTCAATGCTGGCCCAGGAATGTTACTTTTGATTCAGTCATCAATTTACTCTTGAACTATTCTGATGCAAGAGTAAATTACAACTTTTATTGAATTAATTGAGCTCTAGTTATAAAAAAAATTGTGTATTTTTCTTATATTCATGTGCTCATGTTTATTCACCATGCTGGTAACTGTAAGAGTCTACTTAATCTGATAATAATGAGGCTGTGATAGAGCTGGAATAGTTACGATCACCTTTCTCTCCTTCTTTCTTCTCTGAGAGAAACTCTTCATCCTTATATCTTTACTTTAGGAGCTTTGTGAATAACTTTTATCTTTACCATGATCTAGTCTTTAACTTTAACGTGTTCCAGCTCCTCCAGCTGTCTGTCACTGTGTCTGAAACTTTTCTCCCTTCTGTTTTCGTCATGCCCTGCTGTCACTCTCGACTCTTCTGGTGATTTTTTTCATTGAATGCTGATTTAAGATTAGTTTTTTGTCGGTATCTGATGGTTTTAAAACCGTTTTACCAAACGTGTTTTTTATCAGATAAAACCTGTGCTAAAATCTGTGTGAGTGTACAATTCAAGAGTAATGAGCGCGCTCGCAGGAGGGACAGCAGTGAAGCTATCGGCTGCCTTTCAACTGTGACACACATGCGTCACAGAGCGCTTATGATACGTTGACGCTGTAGCAGTTATTAGCGCAACGTTTTTAAAATAATTACTGACAAAACACCGATATGACAGGAAAGCGCTGTGAAATTGAGAACGTGTTACTGTCTATTATTTTTTTTCAGGCAGTATTTGAACTGGCCCGAGCGGGCCAGCTGAACGTGCAATCAGCTGGCCCGGACTCTGTCAATCTTTCGTCCGGGCCAGCGGGCCAGTTATAATGTCGAGCCCTGCATAGACACACAGATTGAAAATAATGACCAACTGAACACATATTTTATGTTATCTCACCAGATACCAGACTCACCAGATCAAAAGATCACTGAACGAGTTGTTCAACTTTAAGAAATGCAAACTCAACGAAGCATAGAAACAGGAGAAAAGTTTATCAGTCTTGGGCAGCAACCAATCAAAAGTCTTTCTGTTATTTCAGGAACACCCATTAGTTATTTTTAAAGCAGCTGACTTTTAAGAAACTTGCTGATTTACAGGAACAGACAGTAGAAGCTGCATGCTCTCACGTCTTCTGCAGGTTAATAAGAGCATGCCACACCCTGAGAAGTAAACAAGCACTAAGATTGTGGTGAAACTTCCTCGTCTCTGAGATGTTGCATGAAGCAGCAGTTTGTATGTCTGACTATTTCAGCAGCTGTTAATTGACTTCAACAGTTTTTTGTGTCTCCAAAAAAATATTAATTGACTTATTTAATTTATTTATACATTTATTTATCAGGGACACGATGTGTAGGCATTGTTACATCTTGTTACACCTAAGTGCAACCAATGCAATGTATATGGGACTTCATGGTTAATTTGCAGTCCTTGTCCTTGGTTAGGCTTTTAGGAAATAACACAGATGATTCAACAATGCTGTCCAACAGATATAATGCTGCTAGGACTCCAAGTATTGGAACGAGTGTGGCCCCCTCCTCTGCTGCCATTAAACCAGCTGTGCTGCAAATTTCAGCCAACAACACCAATAAAAGTTCAGGAGTTACTTTGACTGCTGCCAGAGGTGACATGATGACTTTCTTCAATTCCTCATAAGGAACACCCGAGTAGTTTGCCATTCTCTTCAGTGACTTGGTGTCAAGACCAAACCCAAATACATACTGTCTAACAACGCCAGCTAGAGAGACAATATCAACAGCCATAGAAAGCCCCAGAACTGGTACAGCTCCTACACCTGCAGATAGAATAGCAAAGTATTTGACTTTGGATTTGAAAGCCTTTTTCTTTTCTTTGATCATGTCCAGACTGATATTGGGCATGGCAAGTAGAAAGGCTTCCTTATGGAGTTCAGGAAGGTCTTCCTTCAGGGTCTCCACTAACAGAGGGAAATCATACAGTGTCAGGTGAAAGCTGGACACCAAGAAGACCTGAGGAGACCGGAGACCTAGATCCTGAAGACCTGTGTCAGGAAAAAAAAGTTATTCAGGGACAGTTCTTTGTTAAATCAGCAAATTAGATTTATTGCCAAGAAGAATTGTTACAACAAAGAAATAATCTACCAAACAAATGTACCTTACTTTTTGTGGGATGTTTATATATATACAGTAAATATAGATAGAGATAAAATAATACTCAAAGTTAATGACAGCATTAATGTCAAAAGAACATTCTAAGCACTGAGGTAAATCAGTTTATTATTTAATTATTTTTTAAAGGATACATCACCTACCCTGGATGCAGTTGTTCCTGATTTGTGTCAGGGTCCTTTCTTCATTGAACTCTCTCTGACTTCTTTTCTCATCACGTATGTTATCATCAATCTTTGAGCGAACAAAGTAGAACTTCTTCTTCATTTTTTGAATCTTCTTAGCCAGCTTCAGATCATTTTCTC